TGTGGGGCAGGCTTCGCCCCTCCGGGTGCTGCTGGGAGCCGGGGACGGGGCACAGGGGAGATGTGGGGGGGCTGGGGGGTGCCCCGGGGACCATTCCAGCATTACAGCGCCCAGCGGGGCACGGGAGGCAGCAGGGCACCCCACGGGCTCCGGCAGGGAAACTGAGGCACGCAAGGGGGCAGGGATGGAGGCAGCTCCGATGCTGTGTCCGGGGGCACATGGCAGGGGGGTTGGGCTCTCCCCCTCCCAGGATCTTCTCAGCCTACATCAAGGAGGTGGAGGAGCGGCCCAGCCCCACGCCGTGGGGCTCCAAGATGCCCTTCGGGGAGCTGATGTTCGAGTCGAGCAGCAGCTGCGGGTGGGTGCACAGCATCTGCTTCTCGGCCAGCGGCGCCCGCGTGGCCTGGGTGAGCCACGACAGCACCCTCTGCCTCGCCGATGCCAACAAGAAGATGGCGTAAGCAGGGCTGGGGAGTGGAGGGGGCTGGGGTCAGCCGCGCTGTGGGTGGCAGAGGGGGTTGTCCCCAAACCCGATCCGGGGATGGAGGCATCTGGGTTGGGGTGGGGGTGAAGGGCCAAGCAGACCTGGTCAGAGGAGGCGACACATCCTCTCCTTGCGGTCTTGTGGCTTCCACCTGCGTCACGAGCTGTGCCAGTCTCAGCGCAGGGGCTGAAGCTCGGCTCCCTGCTAACGCCCTGCCCTCCCTCGTAGCGTCGCCTCCCTGTGCACCGAGACCCTGCCCCTCCTGGCCGTCACCTTCATCACCGAAAACAGCCTGGTGGCCGCGGTGAGTCCGGGCTCAGGACTCGGGGTGGGCGCCGTGCTGGGAGCCGGCAGGAGTGTGCTGAGCAGGGCTGCCTGGTTCCCCAGGGCCACGACTGCTACCCGATGCTGTTCACCTACGAGGAGAGCCAGGGCGCGCTGACCTTCGGGGGGAAGCTGGACGTCCCCAAGCAGAGCTCCCAGCGTGGCCTCACCGCCCGTGAGCGCTTCCAGAACCTGGACAAGAAAGCGAGCTCGGACACCGCCAACGCCACGCTGGACACCCTGCACAAGAACAGCATCAGGCACATACTGGGGGGGCGAGTGGGTGGAGGGACGGGCTCGGCTGGGTCACCCCAGGGGCTCCTTGGGGGTGCTGGCCCCCGAGCATCCCTTGGCTGTGTTGCCGTCCGGTGCGGGAGCTGGGACAGTCCTGGAGCGTCGCTGGGTACCCCTGAGCATCCCTGCACGTGGGTGGGGGAGATGGAGGGGTCCAACCCCAGGAGCTGGGACAGCCCTGGGCATCCCTGGAGCATCCCTGGGTATCCCCAGAGCATCCCTGAGCATGGGTGGGGGAGATGGAAGGGTCTGGCCCCACGGGGAGATGGAGGGGTCTGGTCCCACTCCCTCCCACCGACTCCCGGGCAGCCCGGAGGGCTCGGCAGGGGCCTGGGGCTGACTCCCCGCCGCCTCTTTGTGCCCTGCAGCCAGATCTCGGTGCTGGCGGGCGGGAAGGCCAACTGCTCGCAGTTCTGCACCACGGGGATGGACGGCGGCATGAGCATCTGGGACGTCAAGGTGAGGCGTTCCCCGCAGTGCCTCGGTCCCCGCAGGCTGGGAGCGCCCGGCGTTGAACCCTCATTAGCCACAGCTCTAATTGCAATCCCCCCACCCCACTGGTGTGCAGCTCTTTGCTGCGGTGGTGGGGCCCATCCTGCCCACGGGGGTCCCACTGTCCTGGGTGGGATCTTCTTTAGCCCAGGGCTGGGTGGGGGACACCCCTGGGTGGCACTTTCACAGCTCACCATCAGAGGTGGGGTTGATGCCAGCCTTGCGCAGGGATCCAGCACCCTCTCCTGGCTTCGGCTTTGCCTACACAGCTTGAAAAATGAGCCAAAACCAGCCGAAGTTGGGATCTTCCCCCCGCAGGGACGGGTTGGCACCCCAGGGGACAGCTTCCCCCGCGACTGTCCCCCCCCGTTAGCTCCCCAACCACCTCCAATTGCCTTGGAAAGCAAAAAGCTGATGACGAACGACCTCCCGTTTCGTTTTAGAGCCTGGAGTCGGCGCTGAAGGATCTCAAGATCAAATGAAGGAGCCAGCCGGGAAGGGCGTCCCGGCTGCCAGCCTGCCCTTGCTCTGCCGCGCTGCCTGCTTTCCCCCGCCAGCCCCCGTGCCACACGAGCCGGCAGCGACGCCACCACGCCCACTCCCCGCC